TCCAATGAAGCAGAAAGAACTTTTTAAGGAACAATCTACGGTAACGTTCTTCAAAATTATAACAGGGTGTTCTAAAACATTGCGTTAAAAATCAGTGAATGTAATTGTTCTCCTTCAATGCAAAACTACCAGCAGGCGAAGTGGTGTTGCAGAACAGATTAATGTTCCCTGAACCGGATGACTTGCTGGACTCATCGTCTTCGCCTAACTCCGACGAAGATCTCCGTATATATTTGCCCGCTTTAAACAAGGCTTGAGAAAATCATTTTCAAACATGAGTCCAAGCTTAGCCCACAGAGACTGAAAGAACAAAGAATCTTTCTCTTTTCTGAGTTTTTAATAAAATCTCACGTTGGTCATTCAGGCTAGATCCGGTAAAGACCCAAGTACCTGAATCAGGACATAAATGGAAAAGCCAAAACTGTGATACTAACCCTGCTAACACTCAGGTCTCACCGTTAGACTCACAAGATGTCTCTGCTTCTGACTTAAAAGTTCATCAGGACCTTCAAGCACTGCATTTGCACAAGCCCTGAGCTGCCACTATTTGGCCAGCCTGGTGCCTGTAACTTGCCTTTGCCTGCTCAGGTTTTGCATGGCAGAGGAATACTTGAAAGGAGCATGAGCTGACATGGAGGTCTTGGAGCCCACTTGCACATGGACAGGCTCCTCAGAAAGGGCTGCTGTGGCTGCTTCCTTTTCGAAGCAGCAAAGCTGACAGTAGTGCCTACCTTCATATCGTAGCCTCGAGGGTAGATAAGGTAGAGACTCAGGTTTATCTTTTTCTCAGCCTCAAGGAGGTCAAATGCTCATCTCCTGCCTTTCCAGAAAGGGTTCTCACATGATGTTAAAGACTAGGCAGCCTGGGGAACACTCCATTCTGGAGCAGCCCTCCAGAAACAACTCTAGTCAGGCTCCAGAAAGAGGGAGTATTGCTGCATAGCTGTGTGGTCAGGCCAGTCGGAGAGCGCTTGGGTTATTGCACTCCAGTTCTGCTTCTCAGGACAATTTGTATTATAAATGTCAGCAGTAAAATACAGGAAAAGTTCTGTGAGGAAGAGCCAGAATGAAGGCCTCTGCGCTTCCAGGTGTATATCTAAACTCTATGGTACAGCTATACTGTATATTTGTCTTTTTCTCTCCCTGGCTGCATGATTCCCAGCTTTATTTGGCATATGGGCAGAGATACTGGATGGCACTGAGCTCTTACATACTTCCTGAGTGAACACACTAACCGCTAGGACAAAATTTAAATGAGAACATGAATCTAATTCTTACTACTGCTAGTGTGTAATTGAAAGTACTTTGCTTTGACAGGACAGGGTCTTGACAGGGACTGAAGAGCCTAACCACTTAGGTGGTCCTAAACTTCACAGACAGGGGGAGGATTTCATGCTCTACACTTCTGTCTGAGCGGGCTTTTGGGACTATCACCCCCTTCCACTGTACGCATTCAAACCCTGGGTGTGTAAGATTGGCTTCTGGTTTCCACTCTGGGAGCTAAGCATGTAAAAATAGGGTATTACACCCCTGATTTGTGGATGCCAGAAGTCTTTGGTTTCATGAGTGTTGCCCTACTTCCTTCCACCAAAGAACTGCAGTATGAAACTTTGGATATTGGCAGTCTTGCAAAAAGCAATGTATCATCATTAAACACAATAACCAGAAAAGTCAGAGGCTTTGCCTGTGGGATTTTTATTAGTTACTTCATCCTCACAAGGAATACGGTAAGGTAAGAAAGAACTTGCTCCTACAACCCTTCTATGTTAACAAGAACTTGATACATTTTTTGAATCTAAACTATGTACATATACATGCTTAATACCCCTGAAATCTCATGAAGCTTAAATGATCTTGGTGGTGATAAGTATTTTGCTAGGAGGAGGACAATAAATTAAGCTATGAAGTTCCTTGTTTTCATTGAAGAGATTTTACTGGAAAATGATTCCCAAAAGCTTTCCTTCACTGAGATTTGAAAGCATTTGAGCCTTGTATTTGTCATTTGTCCAAATTAAAAATGCTAATATATCTAAAACCTAGGTAAAGATGGATTTCTTTTGACACTTCTTTTAATATGCTTGCATTTTACCAAGCATGTTATCAGCTTTTCCAGAAAGCTGGAAGAGTAATTTCTTTTCGAGACTGCCCCTCCATTCCAGAAATGTAAAGAAAAATACCTTCGTGTATCAGTTTAACTAGTGAGGTGATGTAAGAGTTTTTTTTCTTTTCTTTAAAAAAAGCACTTTATGAACTGAGGCCACTTCCTGATACATAATACTTTTAGACTTAGACAAAATTGGGAAGAAGAGAAATTTAAAAGGAATATTGAGTCTTTCAATGACTCAATATTGAAATGACAATGGTAATGGCAGTTAAGCCTAGATGATGATAGTTTTTTGAAAGAGAGCTATACCGAATAGCTCACCACTATTTGCCTCCCCTTTCCCCAGACATTTTATAGATGTATGTATGTCCATCCCTCATACTGCTGCATTTAGCTAGCACTTTGATAATAGGGCTTGAAAGTCAAGTATGTCGATGGAGCACTGTGCTTCTTAGACACTTTGGTTATTCAACAGAAAAAGGCAGCTTTAAATGAAATACTGAAATATTCTCCTGAAATAACACTTCCTAGAGCCAAGAACTCCCTCTACTTAGGTGACCTTTTGCCAACAGGAAAGTAACTAGCACTGCGAAGCAATCTTGCACTGAAAGGCCATCTTTTCTCCTGCTGTCATCATTTTAAGGTATACTTAGTCTTACGAGGTACTCTGGAATTACAGTAGAAGAAGCACCTTTGCACATATGACCAATACACTACGGTGAGGTGTACAGAATTCTGTGACCACTGGGGTGGGATAACAGGAGAGAAGACGGACCTCTGTAACACAGTTCACCCTGGGGCACAACCAATCTAACTGCTTATAAATGTTTGAATGCCAGAAGCTAATTACAGACTATGTGGTCTTTCTCTCTTTTTTTCTCTGGGGGATGGGAAGGCTGAGGGAGGAAGCCAAGGCAAAAGATGACTGCTGGATACAGGTCCACAAGACTCGTAGCTCCACTAGTCTGTGAATAACTTTTAGCCCTAGCCATGGTTGTGTGTGTAACGCAGCTTCAGCTTCAGCAAAGGTACTCTGAGAGGGCTCTGGACCCCTTCCACCAGGACAGGGATTGATTGACTTGTTCTGCTCCTTAGACTTCAACACAGTTAAGGTTGGTTAAGTCTTAATTAGGAAAGAGCGGGTAGCAGTTCGTAATAGTAATTACCAGTTTACAATTGCTTTTTTATTTTTCTGCTCCTTAGAGGCAAAACGTTCTGTCTCTCCAGCGTTTTGCTAGGTGCAACTCGGGAAGAGGTATGAAGATGCTTTACACATAATACATTCTTCCAGTGCAGCTTCTTTCCGGCCTGTGCGATGTCTTGCTTATTACGAAGTGTATGCAGAATTGCCACAGGTGCTGCATGACCTGCTGCTTTGAGCAGGTGTACTCACCTGCCTGCTCTCCTGCAAGTTCACATAAGACAGACAAGTTGTGGAAATGACAACACTGCACTACATGTGGGTAAGGATGAGAAACGGTTTATTTATGATCCTGTCATATTTGGGCTACTTCTGACCAAAAATAAGCTTTGAAGTAACGTGACTCTGTTTCTCTGAATTCTCCAGTTCTTGGTAACGCAGTGCATTACAGAGGTTCATACGTTTGTTTTCAGACACTCAGAGCATGCAAGAAATCATGAAGGTCAGTTGCACTATAGACAACCGTACCTCCATCAGTGTCTTTTAAACTATACTTGTATTACTTCGACAACCTGCTGTGCTGTTTTCCCTTATTCTCATCTGGGTCTGGAGTGGTTGCCAAAGCGCCAGACAGAACTGTTACGTCGACTTCACCAAGAGTTTTTCCTAACATCTATAATTGTAGCATTCTTTCCCAGCTATGGAGCAAGAGACTGTGGTCTAACACAAATGCCAAACTAATGAAGAGAGCACTTCTAGTGCGATTTTGTGCCATCATTGTGCCTGCTG